TTTTAAATGACAAAAGCACCGCATGACATCTAGTAAAACCCCTATATCTTTCAATATTTACAAAGAAAACATCAATTATAGATATTCTCGAAACAAATCCCTTTCAACGCCAAAAAATACTCTAAATCTCTCCGCGATGGAGTGAACTCGAATGAACTCATACTTTCTTGGAGACAGTTTTTATGTACCTGTTTCTCGAAATTTTTTTGTGGGATACCCTCGGCGTAGGGAGTCACATGTACCTGTAGAACTCGGGTGAATGACCGTCGAGTAGTTGAGTCCAATAAGACACGCTTGTTGAGGAACGTGCGATGTCCTCTTGACGGATTTCGTGCGCTCGTTTCGTAGTTCGTGGTTTGCTGACTAGAATCAGTGCGAGACGGAACCCCCTTCGTCAATTGCTCACTTCAACTATCGTATTATTGTTGAAACTAAATGACAAACGCGGAGCATCATGAGAAAATGAAGCCAAGCAAGAACTCAAATGGGACAGGATTCAATGGCGGCAATTTATATAAAATACATAGCATATTGTCTTCAAATTTGCCAAACTACTTTTGAAGAAGACAACACAAATGAATATTCTCTTCAATTGAATAACCCATAGTCGTGCATCTTAAAAATGATGCCAAAGAAGAATTCCAATTCGACAGAATTCAATGGCGGTAATTTACATAAAATTTATAGCATATTGTCTACAAATTGGTCAAACTATTTTGTAAAAGACACATTTGCTCTTTGATCGAATAACCCATAGTTATAAGAAGACGCATTTGCTCTTTGATCGAATAACCCATAGTTGTACATTCTTAAGCTTATTCTGCATATGTGAAATTGTGCAGTATGGGAAAAATACAAGAAATTTCGAATCAAATCTAACTGTCTATAACACCTTATGGTCGTAATGAAACGTTTATAAAATATTTAAAAAAAACTGAAATTGAACTTTTGGTTTTTCAACATTTGACATCAAACAATATCATGAACGCGACAGGTAACTCACAATACTCATAGAAAAAAAAATTTATTCTCTAAAAACTTCTTATTACCATTCCTTCATTTTTGAGATATAATGATTGAAGTAATATTGCCCGAAAATTACAGAATATTTGCTTCGAAAACATTTGAGTAAATTGTAAGATTTCCATTGTAGTTTCAAAAAGATCATAATAAAGAACATAATCCTAGATTAAAAAAAAAAGATAAGCGATATCAATGATGAAGAAGTGGAGCTTATTTCATTTTCCAATTAGTATTTAAATTTTCTTAAATACAAATGAAATTTTTATAAATGAGAATTCACACAAGGATTCAAATAAGAATTTTACAAACTAGAGCGAGGCCAAAATCATTTTTTTCCAAAATTTGAATTAGAACTTATTTGCGTTTAGTTTAAAATTGCATTAATATCAGGTTTCTATACAGGTTTCTATAAATATTGAATAAACATAGGTTTTAAATTTGATTAAATTCAGGCGAAAGTTTCATAATGAAAATTTCTTACAAGGGTACAAATACATTTTTTACGAACTTAATGATAGATTAAAAATTTAAAAAAAGAAGTCAGATTAAAAAAATTATTATATAACGTAAGCGACATCAATTATGAAAAAGTGGAACTTATTCCATTTTCCATCTAGTATTTAAATTTTCTTGAACACATGAAATTTGTTGAAAATTCACACAAGGATAAAAATTTTAAAAACTATATCGAGGTAAAAATCCAGTTTTTCTAAAAATTGTTTAGAACTTATTTGCGATTAAATTAAAATTGCATTCATTTAACTACAGGTTTTTATAAATATTGAATAAACCTAGTAAATTGAATTGAATTCAGGTAAAATTTTCATAATGAACACAAAGATGCAAATTAATTTTTTACAACTTTTAAAGATTTTATAGTGAGGTAAAAATCCATTGCATTACCTACATGCTTTTATAAAAATTGATAAAACCTATCTTTGAATATAGAATATTTGAATACAACAACACACTTTTAATTATTATAATTTTTATTCATCTTTATCATAAAATATACACAATAAAATATATAATAAATAAATATTTATAAAACAATAAATAAATAAATAATATAAAAAATATTCTTAAAAAATTATGCTAAATAACTCTAGTATTATATACTACTTCTTAATGTAATGCTTGAGTGGTATCAAAGTGCAAATATTAAATATTGCACCTAAATATTACACAAATATTACATGAAATAAAATCTAATAAATAAACTTATGAACTCGTTGTCTTATAAGATTCTGTCAAGAATACCTTTGCCATGATGATTAAATTAAATGTTCTACGTGAGTAATTTTTAAATCAATGGGCATGTGTAAGGTTTGCCTTCTTTACAACAGTATTCACGACCGGCTGATAATTTAGTGTTTGTCCATCCTGAACCGCAATTTCGCACGAACAAGTAAGCCCTTTCCTTGTGGCAATCACGGTCCATAAGACCGCACAAAATATTGGGAGAGTTTGGTAAATGTCTTATGATCTAGGAAATAAATAGGGGAAATGAAATATTATAATTACATATAAATGATGAGTTAATTTCATATGTAACATCCCAAATGTGCCATCGTTTCTTCTGAATTTTTATCTGCGTAAAAATTATTTATGTATAATATTATAAGGTACCTCGATACTTAGTTTGTTTTATTGATAAACTATAACCCGCCTTAAAAAAATTAGTTATGAATTATTTATACATACCGTGTCCAGACATTTGTTAGTACACTGTTTGGTTCCCAAAGGTGTGCAGGCAAAAATTCCGTCCTGTTCTTGAAGTAACACTGGGTTTCCTTTCGGTTGCGCTTTGGAACCTCTCGGAATTTGACCAGACATGAAAATTCCACAATTGCATCCCAAGCTCACCTCTGGCTTAGATTCATCCTCTTCAGGAATAGCCAAAGCTTTTGGCTCGTCTTTGGCTTTTTCTTCGTTCCCAAGATCTTTAATTTCCGTTACTTCTTTGTTCAATTTAGTCTTATTGCTCTCGATTGCTTTGCTGGCCTGCGCTTTTGCTTTTGATTTTGCCTGATCGACGTTTTTGCCTTTCGCTGTTATAACATTAGTTTGTACATCTGGCCTAGAGTAGGCCACTGCGCAGAGTGCAATCAAAACAATTAAGCAAAATTGGAACTTCATATTTTTCTAAAATACACGAGTAGTCCCCATTAAATAACACACTTTAAATTCGCTTAAATAGTCAAATAATATTATATTAACATATTTAATATTTTCTAACTTACCACTTTTATATCACTCCTCACCACAAAATAACTTTTTAACACTGATACTTAGAGCAACTACAATTTCTAAATATATATTATTTTTTTTGCAAGCTTGCACATTTATATTTACAAAAGTATCATTGCATTCTATTATCTTTCAAAATAAATGAAACATATGATTTAATTTCACAATTCGATATAACTAAATTAATATGGCAGTATTAATCATAAACAGGTCACGGGCAGAAAATTGAGGAAATTGGGTCATATTTTAATAATTATATTAGTAATCGATGGATTTGTTTGTAATTGTTTCAAAACATAAAATTAATGATTCACTGCTGTATAGTTGAGAAAATGAATAATATGTACTATAAATCAATTGTATATATCATAATACAATGATATTTGGAAGATTATGGGAATGTCACGATGTTGTAAAAAATAGATCTTTTAACTAAAATATGATGAAAAATTCCGATGTGCTAATTATAAGTTTTCTCGACGTTTCAAGTCATTTTTCACTTATATTTTCAATTTTAGCTAAAAATCTTGAACCAATTCTAAACTGTTCTAAAGATTAGATCAGTTATATAATCGTGCGGATTAGTTTTTGGCCAAAAACGGCCAAGCCGTTTTTTCGCAGGCAAACAATTGTTAAATTTTTGTTTACCCCTTTGATTAAACTCGCATATTGATAGGGTGAAAAGTTTTAATAAACATCCTACATATCATAAATAGTAGCTCAATTATAAAAAATCATTAAAGATTAGAATACTTAATGAACGCTTTTATAAAATACAATATATTATATATTAGGTGTTGTTCAATAATGTATAATATTTGAACTATTTATCGATAATAACTAACATGTTTGCAAATTTTTATAAAATTGAATAATCTGCAATAGTAGTATATATCATATATAAGGCCCTAAAGCAATCCTACATGCTTATAAATCACTTATAAATTAATATATTGATTTTTTATTGATTAAATGGTTAATTTACACATAATAATAAATAATAATGATAAATGGTAGTCTGCCCAAAGGCAGGTCCACCACAAATCAAATAATCCTTTTCTCTCTTCGCATTCCCATTACCAATATTCCCTCTACTTTAAACATTTTTTATGTATTTTTCTTTTAAAATTTCTGCTTTCATGCTTCCTGATCCTGTGCTTCGGCTTTTAGTTCCTTGTATTTCCTCTTCTCGTGTAAGTCATCAACCAGCTGCATTCTTCTTCCTCCCATTCCTTTCAGTCCTATTTTACCTTCAACTACGTCGTGTAGGAGGCACTCTTTTTGCAGAATGGGTCCGATTCAGTTTTCTTTTCTTTTCAGGATCGTGCTCAGTAGAGTCCTCTCTTTGATCACTCTTCTCATTGGTTATCTTAACTGCCTTCTCCATTTATCTTCTTTATCTTCTCCATTCGTCTCCAGCACCACTTTTCAATACTCTCCAGATAGTTTTCTCTGATCTCTGATCCGTACAGAGCTATTTACACATATTGGAAAATTTATGTAAGACTTAAGGCAAAATACTACTTACTTATACCTGGTTAACTTGATATATTTTCATTATTATATAATAGTTTTATTTTTCAAAAAAACCGCTCATGTATTTGAAAATTTGTTTTTGACTATCAGCGCCATCACATAAACTTTACGAGTATTATTTACAGGAGCACCAACAGTCAGGCAATAATAAATCTGAAGCTGTCATAAACATTGTTTATTCGTGTCTTTACCTCTTTATAGAAAATATATAATATATTTCTAATCTTGAAATCGAAATATTGTAATGTTTACTCGGAAAGATCTATTATTAAAGCGTACTCCGAAAGACGGTGTTGACCGCAAAATATATTTAGCATTGCTACGTGACGAATTCTATGAAAGTAAATCTCTGAGTAAGTAAATTATAATAATTTAGGAAAATTTATTTAATAAACTAAATATTAAATTTCATAGTCGCTATATTTATAATCGTTATGAAATAGCACCTCAAGTTCTTGGAATATGAAAAACCTGTTTTTATTGTTTACTTTTTGGCTCTGCTAAAGTTCTATGAATTAATGTCCACTTAAGTTTATAATTATAAGTCCATATAATATTTTATGCATTTTTAAATTACAGGTGCCAAAGAACAAGTATTGGCAAATCTAGCAAATTTTGCATATGATCCAGTTAATTATGAATACATTCGAGAAGTTTGTATAATCGACGTATTTCTTGAAAACCTTCAAGGAAATAATAGTACTTTATCAAGATATTCTCTTGCCGGAATTTGCAACTTATGCTTAGGTAAAGTTAGAGTTATATTATTTACTATTACAAAGTGTTAATTGAAAGATTGCTCAACAAAACCTGATTATTTTTTCAGATCCTGATAATCGTGACTACATAGTTTATAATGATGGTATAGCAAAAATCGTCAAGTACTTGGTCAATTCCAATGTTGAGATGGTTGCTGATGCCATAACCACCTTGCAGTTTCTAATAACACCAGGAACCAGAGACAAAATTTGTAATACTGAAATCATTAATAAAATTCTTAAGATTCAAAGAAGTGACGACGCTCGTTTAAGAAATCTGGCAACCATATTTTTAGAAGATCATTGCCAACGAGAGCAAGTTGAAATTTGTAAAACTGTGTATGAACATTTTTTAATACAAGTAGATAAAATATAAAGTAGTGTTTAAGAATGCATCAATTTGCTAGAATGCTTCTTGCTAAAAGACTTTTCAAATTTCAATATGCCTTTATGCACACCAAGGTGTCTGTTACAAAACAAGTTTCTTTAGAAGATCTTAAAACGTTTGCTAAATTGACTGGTGATAATAACGTTGTGCATTTTAATAGAACTGCAACTTCTGAACCAATCGTTCATGGAGCTTTATTAAATGGTTTTGTATCAGGGGTAATTGGAACATTGTGTCCAGGTCATGGGAGCATAGTGATTTCACAATCATTCACATTTCCAAATAAATGTTTTGTTGATATACCGATTGAGGTGAATGTTGAATTAGTTGAGAATAGAAAGATTATGAAAATTAAATATTGGTGTGAACAGAATGATAAAATTGTATTTGAAGGAGAAGCTAAAGTAATAAATAAAAATTTAGATAGGTATATGAAGTTTTATTTATTCAGAGGAGAAGAGCAATGAATTCTTTATCTTCATTTCAGGAATTTTAAACACATTAATATTTAGAATGAGAATATATTACAAAAATAATGAAATGATTTGCATTTATTATATAATAGCAAATAAATAATGAAGAATTTTTCTAAAAATTGGCAATAAATATGAAGAAAAAAAGCCTTATTTATTATATTTAAATTAACACTAGACGCACAATCATTTGAAGACATTATTTATGGCAGTAGCTACGTTTTGTTAAGCTATTATTATTAATTAAGTAAAGTTAGAGAATATGTTTATTATCTTCCCGCAGGGTAAAGTTATAGTAATCCCAAAAAAAACGAGAATAAAAATTTTTATATATCTTTACGTTTCAAAGGTTTCTGAATATTTTGGCATCATTTAGAAAAAATTGATGTGTGTGTGTGCGGATACAAATTTTCGTCGACGATTTCGGGTACACAGATCAACCGATTTGGATAATTCAAAAAACATTCAATTTGTATTGATAAAGAGACGTGCTGATTAGGTTTTGGCGAAGACAGGTCTAGCCGTTCCGAAGATACGGGACAAAAACTGCCAAAAACGGTAACTCAGTTTTTAAGAGAACGGAGCGTCCGATTTTAATAATTCAAAAATCATTTTACTTGTATTGGCAAGATGATGGACTGATTAAATTTTTGGGAAGGCAGGTCCAGCGGTTATGGAATATCAAAAAAATAAGATTAAAAAATGCCATTTGGCGGTTAAAAATGTTTATTGGACATATGTACATCAAATTATCAGATATTTTATAGAGATTTTAATAATGTGTACACATTTTGTGTAAATTTTTTTGGGTTCCGTACCAAGATTTTTAATTGCGGTACGGAAAGTTCCAGGAATTTGCCTTAGGGCACGTTACCATGAACCCCACTAGTTATTTAAGTAAAATAAGATAAAATGTTTATTTGTAAAGTAGATAAAATAAATTTCATTCTTCCCCTTCAACTACGCCTCTGTGCAGTTTGCTGTCAATTTCAATGAATGGATAATATATTTGTGAATTTTAAAACAATTGCAGAACCATGAATTATGGACATGGAGAAACGTCATTTTTTATATAATTTCTTTCTGTCAAAAATATGTTCAAAATTACTTGTGTTATTACTAAATTAACAAATTACCGCAACATTTCTACAACTTTCTTAGCAACTGCGGGGAATGTGCGGGTCAGATTTGCTCCTAGCCCTACAGGTTTGAAAATGTTTTTAACCTCAAAAATTATAAACAAAATAATAGACAAGTTTTGTTTTTCTTAGGTCATTTACATTTAGGCGGTTTGCGAACAGCTTTAATAAATTACTTGTTCGCAAAATCAAGACATGGGAAATTTATTCTTCGAATAGAAGATACCGATCAAACTCGTCTGGTACCTGGAGCTAAGGAGCAACTAATTAAGGATTTAGAATGGGCTGGTATTATCCCTGATGAAGGACCAAAGTATGGGGGATCACTTGGTCCTTACATACAAAGTCAACGGAAGAAAATATACAAGTCAGTTCTTAATAATTGTCTTAGTACGATAAACAAAATATCTTCTAACTCCTTTTATTTTAGTGATGAAGTCCAAGAGTTATTGCAAAACAACTCTGCTTATCATTGTTTTTGCACTCCAAAGCGACTGAATTTATTAAAAAGGGAAGCACTTCGGAATCAACAAGTACCAAAGTATGATAATGCCTGTCGAAAATTATCAAAAGATGAAGTAAAAAGAAAACTCGACAAAAAAGAACCTTATTGTATTAGATTTAAATTAACACCAGATGCAAGCCCATTTGAAGATATTATTTATGGCAATATTGCTTTGGATATTGCACAGCAAGAGGGTGATCCAGTTATTATAAAAACTGATGGCATGCCGACATATCATTTTGCTAATGTTGTTGATGATCACTTGATGGGAATAACTCACGTTTTGAGGGGTGTTGAATGGCAAATATCAACACCAAAACATATTCTGCTGTATAAGTAAGTTTATTTTGATTTACAGAATTAAGTTCCATACTCATCTTTTATTTATAATTGTTAATGCAGAGCATTTGGATGGGAACCTCCCAAGTTCGGCCACTTGCCTCTTTTACTGAACAGTGATGGATCAAAACTTAGTAAACGTCAAGGTGATATTACAGTAGATGCTTATAGAAAATCAGGAATTTTTCCACAAGCATTAGTTAATTTTATAACATTAAGTGGAGGTGGATTTGACAAATTGCAAAGTTTGAAACCTAAAAGCTATTCTTTAGATGAGCTAAGGGATCATGTATGATAATATTATCTGAATTTACACTTTCCACAATTTTTAGTACAAATTTTGTTTAATTTTAGTTCAATTTACGTCGTGTTAATAGTAACTCCTGTCGTCTTCCTGAGGATCGATTACCTGAATTTAATAGACTTGAAATACAAAGACTTTTAAATAATCAAGTAGATAGGGTTAATTTAATATCACAATTAAGAAATCTTGTGATAGAAAAATATGGCGAGTAAGTATTACAGTTTATTATAAATATAATACTTGAATTATAAAATGAATCATTTACCAAATGTAGGTCAGAATTACTGCATCTGGACGAAGAACATCTATCAAGTGTACTTATATGGTCTCAAGATCGAGTAAGCAAACTTCAAGAATTATTGAGTGAAAATTTAGAATTTCTTTGGAAATTGCCACCAAAACCAAAAAAACCACCATCTGGTGATTTGAAAGGTATTATTCATTATTAGCTGCAAGCCTTAATTCATTCATATTTAACAATTTTTCTAATTTCAATTAGATTTTCTAATCGAACTTAAGAATTCCTTAATTACCACATACACATTTGAAAAAGAACAAATCAAAACAACATTGCATATGGTTAGCATGAATAACAAGGAAGATTTTAAAAATTTGATGGCAGAACTTCGAAAAGTCTTAAGTGGTTCCAAGGTAATAATATAATAACAGACTAGGCGACAAGTATATATTAAACAAATTTTTTACTATCTATTTCTTTTATGAAACAGGTTGGTCCTCCAGTTTCAGAAATGATTACGATATTAGGAAAAGAAAGCACCCTGAAACGCATTTCAAATGCTTTACACCAAAATAATGAAGGACTCCAAAATTGTTATAGTGAATTTCGTTCCAAGAAACTTTGATAGTTTTAGTTTTGTAAATTGTTTGTTTTTATACATAGTGTTTAATAAAATGTTGAGTATTGTATAAAATATTGTCATATTTGTGTGAAACAACACTAAGATGTGGAAGCCAGTGTTTAAATTAAACAAATTACATAATGCTCTGCGTATTTATTGACAATTTTTATAGAATACTCTAGAATAATTTTAATTGAACTGATATTTTAATTGATTGTCCCAAACGACTTGTTCAATCCAATCGATGTAATAAGAAACACGAGTGTATATAGATGGTGCATTGGGATAGCCACAAAATTTGCCGAAGGATGTCACACCGATTACTTTGTAGGTGCATGGAGACCATTGTAGAGGAACCTGATTTATATAGAATACTTAATTAGAAGCTTTAATTAATTGTTCACCGAAAGTGGATAACCGTTGCCTAGGAAAGATATGACAATTGTAATAAGGGGCCATTCAAGTATTACGTAAGCACTATAGGGGGGCGGGGGGGTTATTCATTTGCTTATTTTGGGTAAGAACTTTGCTTAGTTTTGCTGACAAAGGGGAGGGGGGAGGGTGTAAATATGTGTAATAAATCTGCTTACGTAATACTTGAACGATCTCTAACCCATATTGGAAATCGATAGAAAAAAAACAAAGCTTTCCTCTAATTTACACTGATGTTGTGTTCTTTCTATAGTACGCCATTATCCTACAGAAAAAATTGTTAGTTCTAATTCAATTCGTTTCTTTTACAACCGTTCAACTATTTTTGTACAAAATTTGCGTATAAATACTTTTGAATTTGACATATTCTATTAATTTGAACAAAATTTGCAGCCATTTTTATTCGAATTTAAATTATGGCAAACAAAAATAACTGCAAAAATCAGTTTATATTGTAATAATATTGACGGTGATCATAATAGTAATATACCCGACAATAAACTGTTATAGCCGATTGGCGTTAATTAAATAAAAAAATAAACATATGCGTTTTGAATGTTTATAAAAGCAACAAAATCTTTCTGACCTTTTAACGCCTATCATCCTTTAGTAATGTTCATTAAATCCATTTTCTCAAATTCACTTTACCACCTAGCACTAAATCAATATTATTATTAACAGTGTATGTAAATCACTTTGTTAACATTTTATAGTTCTTTTTAAACCGATTGCACAACTTACTACTTTGAAAACAACATACATAATGATAACAGAAGGACAACAATTATCCACTTCGGTATTTTGATGCAATGAAGTTGTCTTCTTATCAGAAAACAATTTTTCAAACGTTTTTTTGTAGGGTTGCAAACCTACATGCTTGATTATTGAAGTCAATTGAAGTTGTTCATTATAATATAAGGTCTAATACATGATGGCCAATTAAAAACTATTTTGATTACTTAAACGTGTCATCTTAATTACTATAAATATTCAAGACATATTGTGAAAATAGATGGAAATTTGTTTTGTTAAAAATTCATAATGAATATAATTCAAAATTCAAAATTCAAAATTCAAAGATAATAATAATTTCCTCATTGTGTCAAGAACGAAATAAAAAAAAGCGCATTTATATATATTGTTCTTATAAATTATTACCACTATTGCATGAGCGCATTTATATATATTGCCCTTATAAATTGTTATCACTATTGCTTGAACTTTAAGCTAAATTAAGTAAGTTAAAATATCTCTAGTCTTTTAAAGATTTATAATATATTCTGTCATATAATAAAAAAATCTGTCATAAAATCTTTAATTTGCATATATATTTAGTAGGGGGCCGTCCATTAATCACGTGATCGATTTTATAAGAAATTTTGGACCCCCCTCCCCCTTGGTGATATTTAAAATTACGCCTCCGCACAAAAACATCACGTGTATTTTTAGTTACGAGAAAAAAATGTAAAATTTTTGTTTCTTTTTAAATGTTTGGATTTTTGGAAAAAAATTCAGGTAAAAAATAAATATACGTGATATCTTACTATACCCCTCCCTTCCCCACGTGATATTTCGCGATTTTTTATCAAGGAGGGAGGGGGGCTCCCTCCAAAAACCTCACGTGATTAATGGACGCCTCCTAGACAAGAAAATCGAAAATGAATTATATTTATATATCTTTACAAAGATATCAATAGGAGTTCAATGTTTTTTGAAAAAATATATCCCCAAATACATAAATGCATGCACATACACACACACACACACACATACATCAATTTTTCATTCAAAAACATTGCATTCCTATTGATAAGGAGACATGCTGATTAGTTTTTGGCGAAGGCAGGTCTAGCCATTTTCGCCGATTCAATAAAAAAAAGTAACAAAAAATGCCATTTGGCGGTCAAAAATGATCACTAGACATTTTGTTTACATTTCTATGGGTTCCATATCAAGATATTAATGTTTAATTAAATGTTAGCGCAATTGTTAAGAAAAAAATTCTAGATTTTCAACAAAAAATTCAAATGCAAAAAGGTAAATTTGTGTTGAAATAGATTTAGGGCTTTTAAATTACCGTACAGTAAGTTTTAACAATTAGCCTAAAAGTACGATGCCATGCATCAGTAGTTCATAATCATATTACCTGAATAGGTCCTCCGGAATCACCTTGGCAAGTATCTTTGTGTCCGGAGAGATCGCCTACGCACATTTGCGAATCGATTATACCATCTTTTAGAACAGATCTTGGTCGCCTAATGTCGGACTAAAAAATATCATTATTAAGAAAAAAATATTTTGGGTAATAAACATTTTCATAGCTCCAAAATATCATACACCCTGTTGTGCATCATACTTACTGCAAATGAACGTGTACAATGATCTGATGATAAAACTGGTAGTTCGACCTTCATTAGTTGGTAGTTTCCTAGAAATTCTGCAAATCAGAAAAAAATCCTGAGTGCAACCTGATATGAAGCAGTATTGATTTTCACATTTCCAATGAAAGAGAATATCACTATTGCTTGCTACATAGATTTGAACCAGAGACTTTGTTTGTGCAATATTACATTATTGATATTATTATGATAAAATATTATAAATTAATACCATAAGTTTGCTTTCCATATCCCGTTGCAATCACAGTCTGCGGTATATTGTAATTATTAGTTTCCAGACAAGCTGGTCTAATATCCATAGAAAATTGAACTGGTTTGTGTAACTCCAGCAAGGCTATATCGTTATACCTTGAATAAATTTAATTATCCAAAAATTAAATAATTACAAATTATGCATATATAATTGTTTAGAAAAAGAGATACTACTTTAAAGGTGGCTTGTATTCGGGGTGCTGTATTCTGTTGATTATATAATATTCTCGATAAGAAGTGATTTCATTATTGATGTAGTCATAATTATCTTTAGTATCACCAAAACGTACTTTTTGTGCAGGACCTCTACAAAAATGAGAAATAGCACAAAGTCAAGATATATATATATATATATATATATATGTATATATATATATAAATAGTTTTTAAAATACATTACTTGTCTCTACTCTTCAAACAATGAGCAGCTGTAAGAACAAATTTTTCACTAATAAGTGAACCTCCACATTGCCAAGTAATTTCTCCATCGGCGGTGTAACCAAATCCGATAGCTGCCTATTTAAATATTAATATATTTATGAAAATATATACATATTTCTGTTATATCAATATTTCATTCAAACATTAGGTACTCGATATGAGCAAGAGATGTCCTGATGAAGCTCCTATCAATAAACTATACCAAGAGATTGGAGATGAGAAAAAGCACAATGTATATGGATTCATTTGGTATAGGCAATCTTTTTAGCATATGATAATTTGATTTCAGTCAATTAATTAGTTTTTGTAATAAAACTACTAAAATTGATTTACTGAATGTCTAAGACAGTTGTAAATGTATGAGATGATAAAAAAAGGAACAGTAACAAAATACTAGCTACAAAATGCTTATTCGGATGTTGATAAGTATATATATATATATATATATATATATATATATATATATATATATATATATAATTACGTTTATACCTACCATATGGGGAAACTCCATTAGTGAAGTTGGAGTTCCGCCAATTATGAGAGGAACTGGAGATCTAGGACAACCATATGGAGATAATTGAGAGGGAATCTGACTATATTCTATACATTCTGAAATAATTATTGACTGAAATTATAAATATTATAAAATTATGAAAAACAACTCGAAAAATCTAAATATTTCGCTGCATTACAAAATGATTGTTTTTAATTAACATTGACCATTATTCAGCAATTCTAATATAAAACAATAATTGCAAATTATGATAATTTGTTATGTTTAAATACATTCAAAATGAAATAATTTTTTTAAAAAATGTATAACATATATATTTTTTTAATTTAGATAATGAGTGGATTGACTTACTTTGATTAGCAATTTCACCAGGAGCTCCAAATATCACAGGAAAATAAATAAACGAGAAGATCACACTTTGGAGTTTAAGAACCATCCTCACAAATCTAGTAAGAATCCAGGTATTAAACTAAATTTTACATTTGGATCATTATATATATATATATATATATATATATATATGTACATATACATATATGTATATATATATATATATATATACATATATGTATATATATACTTATATGTATATATATACATATATGTATATATATTTAAATATATGTATAAATATACATATATAATAAAAATAATTACTCATGTCTTTAGTTTACAAAGTTTTTGTTTTCTTATCAATTGTTCTATAGCTAAAAGATATTTTAAAATATGCATGAATTGCTTAACAAGCAATTAATTATTGAATGCAAATAGAATTTAAATGTGTAATTAGTTTAAATAATAATTAAATAATTTAATTTTCATATTTTAATATATTTTATAATTAATACTTTATGAACTGTTAAATAATTAATAAAATGAAAAGCGTAAAAAGAGTTATAAAAACGCAGTATCGTTATTTAAATAGTATTGAGTATTATAAACAGGTTTATTTGAATTTTTTG